GCTCAGCAAAAGAGGCACTGGCGCGCCTGGACCGGGGAGACTGGCACGAGCGGGTCGCCGAATACTTGTTCGTACAACACATCACCCCTCATGCGGCCACAGGGCGGAGTCCAGCCGAACTGCTTATGGGCTGCCGCCTCAGGTCCCCGCTCAACCGGCTGCACCCAGACTTTGCTGTGGCCGAAACCCCAGGCTGTGCCAACGCGCCACGGTCATTTGTTCCAGGAAACCAGGTCTTTGCCTGGAACTTTGTGGGGGACATTGCTTGGGTGCCAGCCACAGTAGTGGGAGTCACTGGACCTCACTCGTACCAGGTGGCACTCGAAGACGGACGCTTGTGGCGCCGGCACATAGACCAGCTTAGGCGCAGGGTTGGGGACTTGGACACTACCATGGTGCTCCCAACTGCACTCATGGCTCCGGAACAGACACTTACAGATGGTGAGGCTCCACCTACACCTCTCTCGCAAACTGCCGGCGTGGAGCCGAACCAAGCCACTTCAGAGGGTCTGCTGGACTTCCCACAGACTCAGACCACTGCCGTGCCTGACATTCCGCCAACTCCACTTGCGGAGGTTCCACCCACAGCAGCGGATCCAGGGGACTTGGTTTCAATGCCACCTAGGGTCGCACCACAGCTTCAGCAAGAATTGGGTGGCCCCCCGGACTTTGCTACCAGTCCCCGGCGGTATGGCAGAGTATCCAAGCGCCCAACTTATTTAAAGGACTATGTTGTCGGACATGTATCACTCTTGGTCTAAGTATGTGAAATGTAACCGATATGCTTTTGTGCCTAATTGAACCATTACGTGTAGTGCTGTATATAAGGAAACCATTACGATTGTAACTAACACCTTATATTGGTGGGGAGGGGTGTTATGTACTGAAGTTCTCACCCTGGGCCAGCAGGGGGATACTGTAGATAGTTATGCAAATGAAGGATCGAAAGTGACGTTCAGTGATTGGATAGTTTTAGAACTATCTTGCTAAATTTTTTTCCTCCTTAAAATTCCAATTTGTATACAGTAAACCAAGTTCAGTGCTCTGTAGTTCCCTCCAGCCGAGATAAAGTTTTCTTATATTCCCCCAACAGAGTACTTTAATTGTCTTAATCCAAATCTCATCTGCTGAGTTCAGTTTTAACGGCGGCTGCAGTTCAAAATTCAGTTTCCACTTTTATACTCCAGTATCGGTAACAAGCCAACCGGGGAAAAGCTTTGGAAGGGCTCTCAGATGTTGTCAGAGTCCTGGCACTGCCTTCCCTTTTCCATACACAAATACTGTTGTGGCCAGCTTTAAAACCCTGTAGCAATGTCAAACAATAAAGAATGGGTTTCAATTGCTTTCAATTCTCCCATCAGCAGGCCCACACAGTAAATATCAAATAAGATCATAGTTTTCCTCTTGCAATTTTTTTCTATGTATGGTTAATTACCCAGAAGACAAAGAACGGACTTCCTTTTTAATCCTTTATCTGGCGCCGAATTAAGCTTACTGTATATATTTGAGTATAAGCCGACCCAAATATAAGCCGAGGCACCTAATTTTAGGACAAAAAACTAGGAAAACTTATTGACTCAAGTATAAACCGGTTCACCACATCACAAACCTGGTGGTGGCAGCAGCAGCGGAGAAGGATGAACAAGCAGCCCAAAAGGGCTGCTTTCAGGCTGTTTGTTCCTCCTCCGCCTCTGCCGCTCGCAAGAGCAGGCGTAGGAGCCTGGTTGGGAGAGGCACAGCACAGCGCAGCGCCTCTCCCAACCACACCTCCTGTGCCTGCCCCTGAGAGAGGCGGGTGGCAGCGGCGGGACCAGCGGTGAGAAAGGGCTCCTTTTGGGCCGCTCATCCCTCCACTGCTGCCGCCCGCCTTACTCGAGTATAAGCCAAGGAGGACTTTTACAGCATAAAAAATGTGCTGAAAAAGTCGGCTTATCTTCGAGTATATACGGTAATTAATTTCAATAGTAAATATTCTTACATTCCTGTCAGCTTGAATATTGGTTACGGAAAATCTCTGCTGGTGGCCGGAGTGCTAAGGCTTCGCTCCCGTGGAGGCATGTTGTTGCCAAGACTGCACTCAAACCCCCTTCTTTCCCCCACTCTCCTGAGCCTTTCAGCACAGGGGTCTGGGAATTGTGGGAGAGCTCTTTGCAATCTGCTGGACCTCTCAACATCCTGAAAACCCTCTCAAGGGGGGGGTGTATGTCTCGCCTTGGCATTTCCCCCTGACTCATGACGGGGCTCAGATCTGTCAGAGTGATCAGATCTGTGCTCCGTTTGCCATCTTGCAGAGATCAGAAGTCTGTAGTTGAGTATTTCAAACCTTCCCATCTGGTGGCCATAAGCAAGGAAACAAATTAAGATGATCCATCAATGAAATGCAACAGTGGCTCTCAAACCGCAACATTTAAGAGCCACTTATTCAGTCTGCTTTTACACTTTTCTACCAACCTTACTATATGCTTGTGAAACGTGGACCACTTATAAACACCATCTCCAACTCCTTGAAAGATTCCATCAACGGTGTCTCCGAAAAATTGTACACATCACTTGGGAAGACAGGTGAACTAATATCAATGTACTGGAAGAAGCAAAGATCACCAGTGTTAAAGCAATAATTCTTCAATATCAACTTCGTTGGACTGGTCATGTTGTGCAGATGCCTGATGATTGTCTTCCAAAGCAACTACTCTATTCCGAACTTAAAAATGGAAAGCGTAATGCTGGTGGTCAACAAGAGAGGTTTAAATACTCTCTAAAGGCAAATCTTTAAAAATGTAGTATAAACACTGACAACTGGGAAACACTGGCCTGCGAGCGCTCCAGTTGGAGAACAGCCTTGACCAAAGGTATCATGGGCTTTGAAGATACTCGAATTCAGGACGAAAGGAAGAAACGTGCTAAGAGGAAGGCAAGCTTGGCAAATCCACACAGTGATCAACTCCCGCCAGGAAACCAATGTCCCCACTGTGGAAGTACGTGGGGATCCAGAATTGGCCTCCACAGTCACTTACAGACTCATTTTTAAAATTGTGTTTATGGAAGACAATCTTACTCGGCTACGAAGGATCGCCAGAGAGGAAGAAGAAGACACTTTTCATAGAATTGTGGGTCATGCTGACCAATACTATAATCAACTGAGTTACATGTTGAAAAGAAACACACATAAACTGTTAATCTGGCATGAGTATCTGAGGCTGCAAAAATATGTCAGTTTGACCTGAGTTGCTGTAAATGTGCTTTTGGGAAATGAATAATTGTCGGATTAAACACCCACAAACCAGAACTACCAGCAAAAGAGAACAAGGCTTGAACATACCACAGTATGTATAAAACAAACAATTCTTACACCGCATCAGATATATGGAGTTGCTGCATTTTTTTGGCTTTCTGTGGTTCTCTAACACGTCCTGAAATAATTATTAACACCTAGTGGGGGCTGGGGGTGGACAGCTATGTCAATGGAGTTGCCTTAACTAAGTAAAAGTCCAGAGATAAACCTGTTTCTTTCCAGTACCTACAGGTGATTGTGTCTGTTCTGTCCAGTAGTCCCTCGACTCCCTAAAAAACGTTGTTGTTTTTTAAACCCAGAACCTTTGTCTCATTTTTGCTCTGTCATTTCTGGGGGGAAGTACCATTTCTGGAAAAAGCAGAGTACATTAAATCTTAATCATTTCAACACATTGCCTCTTGGTGGGTTGTTTTTGGTTTTTTAAGTAAGGAAACTACCAAAGCAGGGAAAGGGAGAGGATACTTCAAGATCTCACAGGCTCAGGCTTGGGCTTGGGCTGGTTCTGCTTATTTTCACAAGAAGCAGAACCAGCAGAGCTTTTCCTGGTCTTTGCCACTTCAGGCTGAATGTAACACCCTCTAATATTTCTCTGATGAAAATAGGGACGTGCAGGGTCAGCTCCAGATTGGGGTAAAGAGAAACAGATGGGGGAAATAGAGAGAGGGAGAAGCGGGGGGAGAAATAAGATTTGTGCCACATGGGATGGAATAGGACCGAATATGTGACCTGAGAAATCAGCCCCAGTGATATACCCTTAGTTGGCAAGTTTCCAGACCAGAAACTACTTCTTGCTACCTACAACCTGTATCCAGACCCTGTGTCCCTATTTTACAGGGAAGTCCCTGGTTTAGAGAAGCTGTTCCGGTTTCTGATTTGATCCCAGAATGTCCCACTTTTCCTTAGGATGTCCCTATTTTCATTGGAGAAATGTTGGGGGGTATGGAGTTATCCCTTGCAACAAAGGTCCGTATAGTTAAAGCCATGGTTTTCCCAGTAGTGATGTATGGAAGTGAGAGCTGGACCATCAAGAAGGCTGATCGCCGAAGAATTGATGCTTTTGAATTATGGTGCTGGAGAAGACTCTTGAGAGTCCCATGGACTGCAAGAAGATCAAACGCATCCATTCTTAAGGAAATCAGCCCTGAGTGCTCACTGGAAGGACAGATCGTGAAGCTGAGGCTCCAGTACTTTGGCCACCTCATGAGAAGAGAAGACTCCCTGGAGAAGGCTGTTCTCTCTCCCTGGAGAACACACTGATGCTGGGAAAGATGGAGGGCACAAGGAGAAGGGGGAGACAGAGGACGAGATGGTTGGATAGTGTTTTCGAGGTTACCAGCATGAGTTTGACCAAACTGCGGGAAGTAGTGGAGGACAGAGGTGCCTGGCGTGCTCTGGTCCATGGGGTCACGAAGAGTCGGACACGACTAAACGACTAAACAACAACAACAACATGGAGTTATCCAATCCCCAAGCCATTTGAAGGCAATCCTATATAGAGAATTTTTTTTATGTTTTATTGTGTTTTTTATATATGTTGGAAGCTGCACAGAGTGTCGGGGGCAACCCAGTAAGATGTGTGAGGTATAAATAGTAAAATTATCATTATATAATGGGACACCCATATTTTCATCGAAGAAATGTTGGAGGCTATGGCTGTCTCCAACCACTTGCAGGTCCAGGCCGTGCAATCCCCAGTTCCTCCGCTTAGATGACCTCCCATCAAGGAGACCACACAGTTGAATGGAATCATATCAGGCCACAACTTGACTACAGCTGGTGTGGCAAAGGCATTGGGTAAGCATTTATTTCCAAGCTGCCTATCGGAAAGAACATCATGGTCAACTTACATCAACTGGGACCCCCGTCTCTAGGAGCGCTGAGGCCCAAAGTGCCCATCTGGGCGAATGGACAGAAGCAACTCCATCATAGATCCCTTTAACGGGATACCCTATTTCTGGATTTGTTATGTACTGAGTTGAATAGGATCCAAACTGCAGCAGTCTGATTGGTCCTAGAACAATAGGATCCAAAATGCAGCAGTCTGATTGGTCCTAGAACAATGCAGCAGTATGATTGGTCGGCAGGAGCCACCCAATCCAGCTCCAGATAGAAGTGAATCCACAACCTGATTGGCCTACAGGAGAATTCCGGAATTAGCCAATCACGTGCAGCCCATTGTGTAAATAATGTATATAAAGCAGATACTTTGAGGGGACTTCCATTCCCTCCTCGCCACTATGAGCTGAATATAGAGCATGAAATCACTTTGCGACTCTGAGTATATTTCACTGGTGACGAGGATGGGATCCCGCTGAGCTGACTGCCACACACAGCACCGCAGCACCGCCACCTGCCGCACCGCTGCCTCGCACCGTGTATCCAGGCTTCAGTTTCGGGACCCAAGGAACTCAGAATGGAAACTGACAGCAGCTTCTCGCCGTTCAACCCAGCATCCGGAGACTGGGAAGCGTACGCCTCCCGTTTCACCTTCCTCCTAGAAGCCAAAGGGGTCACCGATGAAGAAGATGCCAAGAAGAGGGCAATATTCTTCAGCGTCTGCAGAGAGGAGACGTTTGAAATCGCCCGGACTCTCCTTGCGCCTGAAGACGTCGCTACTGTTCCGTACAAAACAATAATGGAACGGCTGAAGGGGCACTTTTCGCTGCAGCCCTCAGTGGTGGCTCGTCGAAATGCCTTCTACGCAAAGCGGCAAGCCCCTGGGGAAACCATAACTGGGTTTGTGACCTCTCTCCGCCAAGCCACCCGGTTCTGCAACTTCTCAGAATTGGAGAACATGCTTCGTGACTGCCTCATCGGTGGCCTAAAGGATGAGAAGCTGCAATGACGCCTCTACGCTAAGAAGGACCTAACGTTCCAGGTCGCCCTGGAGGAGGCACTGGCAACAGAAGCTGCCAAGAGGTCAACGCAAGAGGCACGGCTGAGCCTGTCACCCCAACCAAGGGTCCACCACGAAGACCTCACCGACGACTCAGGATCTGACAGGGAGGAGGTACACCGAGTACAGCAGCTCACTCAAGCAGCCCACATACCACAGCTGCCTTGACGAGAAGGAGGGAACTGCGCAAGCTGCGGGGAGAATCACGAGAGGAGGACCTGCCTCTGTGCTGGAGCCGGTGCCTAATGCCCCCTGGGAAACCCCAATCGTCACACCCGTCAAGCCTAATGGTTCGGTCCGCATCTGTGCTGACTACAAATGTACCATAAACAAGGCCCTCACGGCCCATGCATACCCAGTGCCAGTGGTCAGCCATGTCCTTGCCACCCTGGCTGGGTCGAAAATTTTTGGCAAGCTGGACTTGGCCCAAGCATATCAACAGCTGCCAGTGGATGAGGCCACAGCAGAGGCACAGATGATTGTGACGCACAGAGGAACGTTCAGGGTAAAGCGGCTGCAATTCGGTGTCGGTGTGGCACCAGGCATATTCCAGAATCTAATGGACTCTCTCCTTAAAGGGATTCCTGGCGTCACCCCCTTCTTCGATGATGTGTTGATTGCCAGGCCCACACCAGAGGAGTTTGAGGACTGCCTCCACACCGTTCTGCACCGTTTCCAGGCGGCGAGTCTCAAGGTGAAGCGGGGAAAATGTCTACTAGGAGTGCCTCAGGTGGATTTTCTGGGATTTATGGTGGACGCAGAAGGGGTCCACCCGACTGGGGACAAGGTACGGGCCATTTGTGATGCCCCAGCACCCAAGAGCAAGACTGAACTTCAGGCCTTCTTGGGACTATTGAACTTTTACCATTCCTTCCTTCCCCACAAGGCGGCGGTAGCGGAGCCCCTACACAGACTTCTGGACAAGCGGGCCCCTTGGGTGTGGGGCCAGCGCCAGGAGGCCGCATTCCAGGCAGTCAAGGACTTGCTTGTCTCAAACTCAGTCTTGGCACACTTCGACGAGAGGCTGCCGGTGGTGCTAGCATGCGACGCCTCGCCCTATGGAATCGGCGCTGTCCTGGGACACCTACTCCCGGATGGAAGAGAGGTACCGGTGGCATATTTTCCCCAGACACTCAACGCAACCGAGCGGAACTACTCGCAAATCGACAAGGAGGGTCTGGCAATCGTGAAGGGAGTAAAAAAATTCCATGATTTCTTGTACGGGCGGCCCTTTACAGTGGTGACTGACCACAAGCCATTGCTTGGCTTGTTTGCCCCCGAAAAGCAGACCCCCCAGGTACTGTCTCCTCGCGTCCTCAGGTGGTCAGTTTTCCTTGCCAGCTACCAGTATGCACTGATTCACTGCCCTGGGAAGGCGATGGGCCATGCGGACGCCCTCAGCAGGCTACCACTACCGGAAACAGGCCCCGACCCAGCACCTGCACAAGAGGTTATGAGCCTGGAGCTGCTTCCCGACCGCCCCATTCAGGCACAAGAAGTTGCACACCATGCCAAGAAAGATATGGTCATCTCCCGGGTCCTGGACTGGGTGTGGAGGGGATGGCCCAGCAGCAGCCCCGGGCCAGAATTCGCCGGCTACACAACCCACAAACATGAACTGTCGGCCCACATGGGGTGCCTGTTATGGGGAAGCAGGGTCGTTGTTCCCCAGCCCCTCCGCAAAAGGGTCCTCACAGCCCTACACGAGACATACCCAGGGTAGTGAGAATAAAGGCCCTTGCCAGGAGTTATGTGTGGTGGCCAGGGATCGACAAAGAGATAGAGGCCTGGGTCAAACACTACCAGGCCTGCCAAGAATCCCGCCCAGATCCCCCAAGGGCCCCAGTCCAGTCCTGGGAGTCCGCCCGAGCACCATGGTCACACCTGCATGTGGACTTCGCTGGCCCCTTTCAGGGGAAAACATTCTTCATAGTGGTGGACTCCTACACCAAATGGCTGGAAGTCGCACTGGTACCGTCCACTTCCACGTCCGCAGTCATCCGGGTACTACGCAGGCTGTTTGCAACCCACGGGCTCCCTGACACTCTCGTCTCAGACAATGGAACCGCATTTACATCAGGAGAATTCCAAACCTTCACAGCGCAGAACGCCATCCGCCACATCCGTTCGGCGCCATTCCACCCTGCCACCAATGGCCAAGCAGAACGCATGGTGCGGACCACCAAGGACATCCTCCGCCGCATGACGCAAGGGGATTGGGAGTACCTCCTTGCCACATTCCTTCTAGCACAGCACAGCACCCCCAGCTCAACAACTGGCCGGAGCCCCGCTGAACTACTAATGGGTCGGCACCTTGCAATCAGATTGGACCGCCTTACCCCAATAGAGCTCAGGATGAGGTAGTGGTGGGGGGAGGCAGGAACCCCCGGACCTTCGAGGCCCAGGACCCAGTGTACGCAAAGAACTTTGGGGCAGGCCCAGCATGGGTACCCGCCACAGTCACCAGGGTCACTGGCCCTGTGTCGTACGAGGTGCTAATGGATGGGGGCAATGCTGGCGTCGCCACTGCGACCAGATACGGCGACAATTCCCGGGAGAAAACCAGGAGGAGGACAGGTCAGAGGAGTCCCAAGGGAACAGAGGGGCAGTGATGCCCATAGAGCACGAGGGGCCAGCAGGAGAGGCAGAATCAGTAAATACAGAGAGGACCCGCGAGGCCGAAAGGACACCGGAACCAGAACCACGACTGAGCGAGCTGGTTGCACCAGACCAAACGGCCCCATCACAGCCAGCATCCTTGGAACACGAGCCAGAACCTGAACCCCGGACTAGGGAATACCCCAGGCCACAACGCACACATAGGCCGCCGGTGTACCTTGAGGACTATGAATGCGACCTCCCGGGCAGGACTGAAACTTAGAGGGGAAGGGTGTTATGTACTGAGTTGAATAGGATCCAAACTGCAGCAGTCTGATTGGTCCTAGAACAATAGGATCCAAAATGCAGCAGTCTGATTGATCCTAGAACAATAGGATTCAGAATGCAGCAGTATGATTGGTCGGCAGGAGCCACCCAATCCAGCTCCAGATAGAAGTGAATCCGCAACCTGATTGGCCTACAGGAGAATTCCGGAATTAGCCAATCACGTGCAGCCCATTGTGTAAATAATGTATATAAAGCAGATACTTTGAGGGGACTTCCATTCCCTCCTCACCACTATGAGCTGAATAAAGAGCATGAAATCACTTTGCGGCTCTGAGTATATTTCAGGATTGGAAGGTGAGGGTACAACCCCTCCCTCCAACCAAGGCTAAGGTTACCAAATGCCTAAACCGCCAAAGTTGTGATGATTGCTACAGGTAGGCCAAACATCCAGGTCATAGCCAATTCGCCTGGTAGTCAAATTCCAACCGGCCCCACAAATACAGCAACCACCACAGCCAAAGCAAAGTCAATTCAATGAGTAAAGGCAAAAATTATGGGAGTGGGTGGATCCAATGAAGAAGAGCAGTGGCTTTGCAAGACGGCCAGTGCCTTGCCTCCCGCCGACAATGCAGGGCTGGGTGTCAGCGTCTGATCCCTTCCAGAGCGCAAGCTTCACCTTGCGCTCCCAGCTTGAAATCCTGCTCTGCGTCAGCCTGCCGAATTGGCCAATGGCAGGCTGGCATTGAAGGAGGGCTGTCCGGGGCTTGAGGGAACAATGAGGCTTCCCTCAGGTCCGCTCCCAGGGGATTTAAAACAGCCCACGCCAGCCCCCCAATGCCCAGCCCTTCTTGGGGTAAGCGGACTTCTGGGGGGGGGGGTATATAGTGACTGTGCACTACACTTGGCTGGGTAGGAAGAGTGACTCTAAATGAGGCAGCAATGCCAGCTCCCGGTGGACCCCTACTCAATCTGAGCCCCATCAAGTGCCTTATTCTGCTGTCTGATGGTGCTACCCATTGGGGGAGATTCCATGGGGAGGGACTAGGCATATATGGTAATCCCACCTTTTCTGTACTAGTAACCCCAGTATAAGTATAGAGACAGTTGTTCCCAGGAGCCTGAAAAACACTGAACTCAGTTATCTTCTTATTTTTAGTGCGGTTGGGAACCTTAAAATTGTTGAAGTTCATTCGCATGGCTATTATGTGAAGATACTGAACAGTTCTCCTGATAAAGAAGAGGGCATTGGAGATTATACACTCCAGCAGAACTTTGGCGGCCATCCAATAGCAATCTTCAAATTCCCCCCAAAGATCAGAATGAAGGCTAATTCTTCAGTAATGGTGAGCAAAATAAGAAGGTGCATTGCAGGAGAAGTTTAGTAATCAGAGGGCTGCATTTGCTGTTATGTTGTGGAAAAATTCAAGGCAAAATTATGCAGCGTCTGACTGCTTGCTTCCTGTTTCATTGTTGCAGGTCTGGGCTGCAGATTCTAAAAGACCTTCAAAACCTCCAACAGATTATCTCTGGAAGGACCTGGACAAGTTTAAACCAGGCCCAGAATGCACCACTATCCTTTGCAATCCTTCTGGGCAGGTACTTCTGATCATAGGAGCTAACGCCTATATTTGAGGAAATCACCCCCCCCCCAAAAAAAAAGTTGTCTTGTGATCAGTTATATGGGGCAGGGCTTACCTAGGCCCCCAAATATTTTATTCAAGTTGGCACCCCTGATAGCTACCTTCCGATTCTTTTATAGTAAACTGGGATTTCCTTGGGTTTGGCTTTCTTAAAACTTGACCACCATATTATTCCAGATCTTAATTAGAAATAAGGCTTATTGGTCAAAGGCCTTGACAAAGGCCAATTTTGCATTGTACCTTTAAGCACACTGTAGCCCCCAGACAGAATAACCTAGCTGTCACTTTTTAATTCCGATCAGTATATTAGAAGAAAGGGGAGGAACAGAGAAAGTGGCTATGTGGCACTTCTGAGAGAAAGGTGGTAAGAAGGAATGCAGGACAGAGCTTTTGAAGGGACCTTAATAGCTATGTTGAAGAGAAAATGTCAGCAGGTATCACTTTTCCTAACCCTGCTCAAGAAGCATCAGGCCAGCCACATGGAGAATGTCAAATGATTTTGCCACATCAGAGCTATTTCCCTAGAAAATAGAGGTGCCAGAACTCACCATGAACAAGGCCTTCCCTGTTTTCTTAGAATGGCAATGGCCTGATTCTAAGGTGCTGGAACTGAACTCCAGTGAGTTCCAGTTTATTTGGTTTTTTTAAAAGCCCAGTGCCACTATACTTACTCCTATTATTATATTCTATATTAAGACTAGACAGATCTTCACACACAGCTACTGCTCCCAAGCAGTGGCAGTGCCAAAATTTGGCACCCCCCTCCTCTCGCCTTTCGTTCAAAGTCATTGTTGCGACGCCCCTTGCTCTGGCACCCTCTGAGCTCCGTACCTCTGCAGCTGAAGCACACTGCCCTCAATCCACCTCTGTCCCAAGGATACATCTCATATGGGGGCATTTCTCATTTCACCTGGAAGAATGAGTACCAGATCTTTAGTTTCAAATCGCTGGTAAAGAAGGAAAGAATGCTGGGTGGGAGAAGAGGAGAAGAGAGAAATTTGGTTTGTTTCCCAAAAACTATACATTCACTGAAATGGAGTTATCCTTCAAAATGTGCACTTCTTCTATTTTGCGATGTAGGTTTTTTTTATTTTAAAAAAATGTACAAAAATGCATTTATTAATGGAAGTAACATACAAAAATACATTATTTTAGAGAAACCACTTGCCAAAATGTGTATATTAGGTATAATGGCATATAGAAATGTGTGTATTAGGAGAACCATGTGCTAAAATACTTATGAATTTTCATTGCAAAAACCATTGTTTTTGCAATGAAAACCCGTAAGTATTTTAGAGGAATGTAGAGAACTGAATTATTATTTTTTAAAATATTTTTATTAGCAATTTCAACATAGCAAATTATCAAACCATATAATTGCATACATTATTCCCCCTTTTTCCCCACCCTTCCTTCCATCCCTCCCCCCCACCAGAGACTTCCCTCAGCTCCTCTCTCTGATTTCTCAGCACATATTATTCTCTGCATGTTATAAAATTGTACATATCCTTACATTATCTATCTAACATGGTATCTCTTTTTTTGTTAGAGCATTTATTAATTTTCCAATAAGAACATCCAATTAACATATCAAATCAAATCCAATAAAAATAAAAAAATAAAATTAAAAAGTACAATTGTCTTCCAAATTATAGTCTTAATTTTTTGTTGACTTCCCACAATCTGAATTCCGAAGCATTTTCCAAATCATATTCCTGCCTCTCATCATCAGTGTTTTCATAATTCAATATCCTGATTTTATCCTCCACGTTTGTCTCTGGCTCTGTGATCCTCAATCATGTCAGAAGACAAATGATACTTTTTTTCATAGAGTGCAGATTTGCCCATGTATTTCAACTATTTTTGTTTTTCAATTGTGCCGCTTCATCTAATTGTATCCATTCCAGGCTTCTGACCAACTGTTTAAGGATTGTTATTTTGGCAGCTCCCAAATCGTTAATCTTTCCCGTCCAGCTGTTATCGAAGAAACAGAGAGAAACCTCCTTCAAAGACTCCTTGTTGATTTATTCTTAAGCTGCCTGTTTGCTGTGTAGTCATATATCAGTCAGTTGACGATTGATCAGCCTTTGGAATCCACCCAGTCCCCACTCCGGGCCCTAGAGGGGGGCTGCCAGACATCCATTTAGCCTTTTCTCTCTCACACAGTGAAAAAATTCTTTTTGCAAACAGTTGCATATATAATATTGTCTCCAGTCTTTGTGGCTGGCCATCAATTAGCTCCTGTTTCTCTTAATCAGGGAGATATTTCAAATATTCCGCAACTGCTTAGTGGGTGAGCACCATTTTACTCTTTGTTTTCGTCTTTAACAGGTATTTCGAATCATAAAAGAAAAGGTGGCTGCAGATAAGTTCCAATTATATATAGAAGTCCATCTGTATTCACCTTTTTAAAAGCAATTTAAGTTCTTAATGAGGCTTGGCATGAAAAACCAATTGTTAATGTTAGACGAAAGAAAGAACATACCAAGCCCCTCCAGAGTCCACACATCATGATGAGGATCTCTTTGAAGTTCGATCTTTTACACCAGAGACTGTACATACTGCAGTCCCCCCCCCCTACCCTGGGGAGGCTGCCAAGGCTAATTACCCCCATATCAGCCCCAAATTATCAGAACGGCTGGGGTCCAGTCGTGTGGGAGTCCGCCATTTCCCACCGTCAGAAACAGGAAGTCTATCCAACATGTTATCAACCAATAAATTTGTGTATGTCCAAGGAGTCCAGTTCATCTCGTTGTCTTTTTAGATAATTTGTAAAAAGCTCCCATTCTTCCTTAAAGTCACAGTTGTCCTTGTCCTGCAGTTTATATGTCAATTTAGCCAACTCTGCGTAGCTCATCAATTTCTCTTGCCACTGTTCCTTTGTTGGGGTTTCCTCATTCTTCCATCCTTGTGCTATCAAGACTCTTGCTGCTGTTGTAGCATACATAAATAAGTTCTTTGTTTTTCTTGGCAGGTCTTGTCCTACAATCCCTAACAAAAATGCTTCTGGTTGTTGTTTTTTTTACAAATGCCATTTTAAACATGTTTTTAATTCATTATATATCATTTCCCAATTTTTTAAAACTTCTCTACATTCCCACCACATAAAAAGTCCCTTCTTTTTCTCTGCATTTCCAACATGTATTTGACCCGGTTGTAGAGAACTGAATTTAAGGCTGGAAAAATGAGAAACCGAAGTTGTCAGTTCTATTCCTCCCTAGGTTCAGGGGTTAGTGATCAGCTGGTGTGCAGGCACAAGCTGGTCAGAAGCCTGGCTCAGGGGCAGAATATGTCTTTTGCACTCAGATGGAGCCAGGGTCATCCTCTGGCATCTCCATTTTAAAGGATCAGGTAACATATGTTGGGGAGAAACTTTGCTGGAGATTCTGGAGAGCTGCTGGGCACTCAGGACAATTAGCTTGACCTGGAATAGTAATTATTACTACTTATTAAATTTCTATTCATCTGAAGATCACAGGGCAGTTCACAACCTAAAAATACAAAACGAGAACACAAAATACATAATAAAAACAGAAAAAACCAATAACCACAAACACATTTAAAAGAGGATAGAATATTAATCAGCCAAAGGCCTGGTTAAAGAGAAACGTTTCATCTGGTGTCTAATATGTTTATATAGTATGCTTCCTCCACCTCTGACACTCCATTTTGCATAGAAACCCTTAAGAATTAAACATTGTTCCAATCCTTTTACTAAGCACATAAAATAAATAATTAGGATTAACAGCTTGCAGCTTGGGGGGGGAAGCAAAAACATACACCTTTAACTCATCTGATGTTGCCCATCCCATCTTCAGTGATTGCTGGGCAGCACTGATTCCTGCTTGCCACCAATAACCAAGACCAGCCTTGGATAGGAATGGGAAGGACTGCCTTTGGGGGATTTCAAGGTATGTGACATTGGGCAGCCTGATAGTCCTAGAAACAGTTTGCCTGAACATGCAGCGCAGTAATTTAAGCTTTTACTCTTCTCCCTCTAGGCTGTCGCCTGGTTTACACCCATCAATTGGAACCAAAAGCAAACAAAGGAAGGAGAAGAGGGTGGCAGAATCTGTAGAAATTTAATACAGCCTATTATTGGCATGCGCCGGCAAAAAGACCGATGGCAACCCAGGATGTTTGACGTTTGGCAGGGAAATGTTGGTCAAAATCTTACAGGGACAAATGAACCAGAATTTATTCTACGGTATTGCACCTGAATCAATTTGCATTATTTATGTAATGGTTCATATTATATCATACTATCCAACTTTTTCTTACCTGCTAGTTTTTGGGTACAACAAAGATCACAGCCTCAAAAAGAGTGGTGCAAAAGCAGGACTGTAGCTGGGGGGGGTGAGGTGGGCAATGGGGGGGGGCACAAAAATTGGCTTTAAAATATGTCCATAAATATAAATATTGATTATTGCCTCATAAGAAATGGTTTTAAATAGAGGGTGAATTGAATGGGTGGGGGAGAGGCAGAAAGAAGAGCCATGGCTGGGGGCGCAATCTGGACAGTTCTGCCAGGGGCGCAAGATCACCCAGCTATGGCTCTGTGCAAGAGTGTGACACTAGCACTCTGGGTTTGTCAGAGGCTCACGCCAGAGTGCTGGACCTTCGGCACTCTAGCGCAGCCCTGCTCACAAGACATGACCCGCCACAGCCACGATCAGGTCCAGCAGGGCCTGCCACAGCCAGCCACTCAAGATGAGGGGGGGCTCAGCCCCATCCCAATATATGGGGGGGGGGCTTGGGTGTCCTCAGTCCCATAGTTGGCACTTATGCTAATAATTAAAATGGCTTGTTTATTATAAGGATTCCTCACTGTTCTTTGGGAAGCTCAGAGTGGCTTCTGTGAGGCTTCCAGTGGCCGTCCCTCATGGCACTCGTGCATAGTCTTGTTCCAGCAGAAGGTGCTTCTGGGCTCCTCACTGGAGCAGATTATATCACACCCTTCCTCCTTCACAAGCCCAGGGCAACAGCAATTCCAAGTACCTTTCTTTTTCCCTTCTGGAGGCTTCAGATTTTAAAAGGCCTCACATAAACTTTTGCAAGTTTTTCATTGAAAGTGTGTAGAGGTTACTCAGCACAGACAAATCAATATGGAAGGAGTCCATGGAGATTGGGGAGGGGGTGGAAAGCCTACCAGCTAACACATCTTTTTGGTTTTTGCACTGTAGTACTGTAGACTGGAATGCAAAAGCCTGCAATTTCAATACAAGTCTAATGAGCAAAGTCTTTGGAATTCTGCTGGCAGGGTAGAATGATAGTCTTTTAATTTAAAGCAGTTTAGCTGGATAAAGCTTTCTGCATGTAAATTCTTAGCTGTCTGTTCACTAAAACATCATCTTCCAACGTTGTATTTTGGAGGACACTGAATGCTCAACACATGAAATTGTAGGAGCCTTGAAAGCTTGTATGCCATGGTCCAGATCTCCCTGAGGTGAGCCAGAGAAGCTATAGAAGGGTCAGACTCTGGTGAAATAAATGCCAGCTGACAACAAAAGAAGCAAACATAGCAAAGAACATGAGGTCCAGAGGAATGCATGAAGAGAGCCAAGGCCAACATTTATTATGTTAATGTTATTTAAAATATTTAAATAGATCAGAATATTTATATTTAGGATCGTACTTTAAGGGGCAGGGAAGTAATAGCACCTGTGAGCAATCCAGATTGGATCTGGATCACATCAGTGAGGGAGGAGTGATTTATTCCCTCCTCCCTTAATGTTTTCCAAGTTAAAACTGCTCCTGTGAAGCTGCTCTGGGACCTGCAGGAGAAAACATGCAAGCCATCGTATGGTTACCTGTGAGTTTTCCTCTATGGCAAAATAGTTAAAGGGGGAGAAATTGTAATTAGGTAAATAGCATTGGGGGTGGGGCTCACATAGGATCACATCAATAATTTTTTTCAGCAGTGTTTTATCAATGCACCTGTGTGCACTGAAAACATAGAAGAGGGAAAAGATGCAGGGGAAAGTCAAGCTATGGGGAACTGCACATTCTGCAGCTCCAAAATTTATTTTTGAAATTCTCTTAGTTAAACTGGAATTCTGAGGGAGATACTAAACCAAATAAATGATAATGGGAATGTACAGAGAGAACCCTGTCATTTGTAGTGGGCACTGCAGTGTACAACCCCCCCCCCCCCGCCATGCGTCAGTACATATAAAAGACTCTGTATGAAACCTCTTGCTTCTATTTCTACAGGGAAGAAAAGATCCCACCCATCCTGTACCCCGTGCAAAGCTCTTGGTGCCAAAACCCAAGCTCTCCCACACATCCCCATTACACTGTGGGAAGATACATCCTGGCGGGCACTGAGGGGAGCCACGTGGGCAGGCAAATGAGAACTCAGCTGGTAAAGCAGAATCCAGATACCGGTGAGTTAAAGGACATTTAGAGAATGAAGGGTGGTGTTTGTTTGTTTTTAAATACTGACAGAAGGAATTTAGAGAAAGTGACAAGATCAAAAGATTTATCGTAGGATCTTCTTTTGCATCAGCCTTGCCAATACTTATTGCTAACACATCCGTTGTGTTGGTGCAAGATGTTTGTTGTTAGGGGTGTCTCTTTTTGGAAGCTGAAATGACACACTGAGCCACCACTGGGAGAGACCCGCTATGTTGCCTGTGCCTTGTTAATGAAGCAAGTGCGAAGAAGCTGCTCAAATACTGTGAACACCAGACAAAGCGGTGAGACACACACACACACAGAAGGAAAAGGTTTCAATGTCTCCAGGGACACATGTCAGAAGGAGTGGTTAAAATTAAGAAAAAGCATGTTGCATAGCTATTTTAGATTTAGTTAGATGTCTGTGCCAGAAATGAGGGAGGGTTAGTTTTGGTACAAATAAGTACAATAGCACCAGGTAAAAAATACATAATCTATATACATAGACATAATATAAAATAGAGAAAATCAGAGAAAATTACAATGGAATATAGTATAAAATTCAGACAGCATGACACCCATATAATCATTCATCCAGCCTCAGTCAACAGCCATTCCACTCCACCCCACAGCCATTCAACTGCAGAGCTCTCATTGCCAAAATTAGATACTTTTCACTTAAGTTTCACTGATTTCAAGGGGAGAATTAAACACATTTGGTATAGAGAACCCATATTGTAAATGCTCAAAACACACACTATTCTAATAGTGCACACCGTACTCATTAATTATACAAACTCTGTAATACAAAATATCCATTTATTAGGTGTGCTGCAGCAACATTTACATGACTGCTGTTCTGTTTCTTTACTTAGTTATCTGACCTCTAACCAGGTGCTATATATCTCCTTTCTTGCTGCTTGAGATATTAGTGTGATAAACTCTTTGCTGCAGCTCTCCCTGTTGAATGACTCTCTTATGATAACCACAACATGTTAATCCTTGCTTCATTTCTAAGATATGGCAAAGGCTGTGCCATGTTTCTAGAAAAAGAGGCACCAGAACTCACCACAAATGCCTCCCTTGTTCTCTTACAATGGCAATGGCGCCCACCTGAGATGTGCCGGAACTGAGGTCCAGCAAGTTCCAGTTGGAAAAAAGACCTGGGTAAAGGTGTGGTATCCAGATATCTAGGAGAATTCACAAGATGCTTTTCCATTCCAGAATTCTCCCATAAGAAGACTTCCCAGGGCAGAAAACAATAGGAGTGTAGGTTGCCACTTCAACTCTTGTTTTCTCCAATACAGCTCAAGCAGATTTAAAGGAGCAGTCCAACATTTACATACAATGGTCTCTTGGTCTGGAACCTTGGCCTAGTTGTTAATTAAGCTGCAGTTCAGACCAGGGTCTGCTGTGCATGTGGGAAAGTGGTGAGGGCCTAGCCCATGGGTAGGCAAACTAAGGCCCGGGGGCCGGATTTGGCCCAATCACCTTCTAAATCCAGCCCGCGGACGGTCCAGGAATCAGCATGTTTTTACATGAGTAGAATGTGCCCTTTTATTTAAAATGCATCTCTGGGTTATTTGTGGGGCATAGGAATTCGTTCTCCCCCCCCCCAAAAAAAAAAATATAGTCCGGTCGTCTGGCCCCCCACAAGGTCTGAGGGACAGTGGACCGGCCCCCTGCTGAAAAGGTCTGCTGACCCCTGGCCTAGGCCTATTGCATCTCTTGCCTTATTTCAGGGTGGAACTACAGGTGTCAGCAGCAGATCTGGACTACTTTCAAATGCTTCCAGTGGGATTTTGGGTAGAAAGGCTGTGGGTGCAGAGGTTTTAATCTCTTCCTTTGCTCTCCCCCCCAACCCCCTAACCTCTGACCCAGACATTTTCCTCAACTAGTCCTGAGGACAGAATCGAACTCAGCTGAGGAGGAATCACCTGGGATGACAAGTTGTGGCAGAAAGCATCAGGTGGAGAGAGAGTTCAGCACTCCCTACCTGTTATAGTGAGAACTGGAAGAAACTACTTAAAATCTTGCCTCAGCTATTATGACCTCACAAGATAGCCTTAGGCAAACTACACTCTCTCAGCATAATTGCACAATAATGCTGACCCATCCAGTGGTGGACCTACATTTTGGGGGCTCTGAAGCTTGAACAGTCATGGGGGGCCCTTCGCAACCAGCAACAAAGTCTGGTTAACCACTGATATCTTCTTCAATGGGGCTGTTCCATGGTAGATCACCACACCTTTCTGTGCTACTTACTCTCAAACGCTGGGATTGTTAAAAAACATGCAACAAAAAAATAATAAAATTGAGTCACGCGACTCAAATTGGGTCTACAAGACCTAGAACCTTTAAGCAATTTGGACTAAAGTCTCCTCAGGGCCCCCTCTGGGATTAGGGACCCCGAGACTTGATCCATTTCAGAGTAGATCGCCCCTGGACCCACTGTACAAATCTATTGAAATGTTTACTGTGATAATGTAGGTGCTGTAAAATGCTTTGAGTACTTAAATTTGCTGTTTTGTATTTAACATTGCACCCCATTCTTTCCTACCGAGAGCTAATGTTGCCTAAAAGTGCTTAGCTTAGTTTTGTTTTTAATCCACATTATGAGCTAATAACAAGGATGTTACAAAATTGTTTCACTGTGTATTGGAAGCTGTAGTGATTCTTTTTTCTGGCAAGTCTTCATAGAAACCCATAACAAAATGTATTTTTCCTTCTGTGGAGAACAAATAGACAAATACAATCATTATTCTTCTTTTATTTCAGTGCAAATAATTCACTATTGTTTGAAATGCAATGTGGCTATTAATGA